TTGCATGGATGGCCCACACCTCCCATGCAGGATTATATATATATATATATATATATATATATGTGCATGCATATATGATATATGTATGTGTCTTCACCTGTGTAAAATGCACACATTTTTATGCGCGCAACTGTATGGGTGCGTCTTGAACTATCTGTACATCACTGAGCTAGTGTTTCCGTTCATTCTAGTAATGCATCACTGCATGCTCTTCGTTGCCTGTCACCTTCAAGAAAGGTTCAGAGATGTCTAGGCCACGAGCTTCGCGTGGCGGAGGCAAACAGGCGGCGCTACAGCCCTACAGGCGGCCCCTACGGTGGAACGTAACACAACACATGAATACATGCACATCCACTTTGCTTGTGCGCATGCATGCAATACATGCATGCCAACATGCTTGCATGCACGCATATATGCATGCACTTACGCACAATGAAACTGGCATCGCTGCCACAACAAACACTGCCACCGTCGTTGCTCTTCTGGGGCCACCAAGCCACAGGTAAGGTGTACTGTAGCTGGCTAGCAGCTAGCTAGCTAGTTCGCTATCCAGCTGCTAGCACTACAACAGCAATGTGTACATCGGCTGGTGGGGGCGCCGCTGCCCCTTCACAGGAGAGTTCTTCATATTTAGGGGCGTCAATGCACGACGAAAAAGAGAAAGATAAGTACTAAACTCTCTCCTCGGGGTCCCCGCCGCATGCATTCTGAAGTTGTGCATGCAGAGGTGGATGAAGAGGAACACTATATACACGGTGTATACGGGGGTATTCCGTTTCTGTTTATGGTTTAGGGTTTAGGGTTTGTGTCTTCATGGACAATCTGCCGTTATTCCCTTCGAGATTCAGGCAAAGATGAGATTGCGTCGACTCAAAACCAAAGCAGCAGCCGCGCCGCACAACGGCCACAAGTTAACAGCTGCGGTGTACGTTCAGCCTCCTACGACGCAGCACTGTATGCAAACACAGGCTACATCTACGCGCCTCTCCATCCATACATTACGGATGTGCATGCACGTATTCATTCGCACGTGAGATGGCGGCGTAATGAAAAAAAAACACAAAAAATGGCTCATCCAGGGCTACTGGAATGCTGCATGCATATTCCACTGCACAACGCCACATGCATACACCGACCTACAAACACCAGCTGCAGCAACAGCAGCTGCAAAAAGCGCAGCAGCAAAAATAGACAGTATTAACATTCCCCACTGCAGTGCACTGCACTGTGTAGAAGTTGTGGAATTCTGTGCTTGCAACAACGCACGCATGTGTACATATTGGATGGAGCTTCTAAATGTATGTATGTTAGTAATCCATGCACGTGTACGGGATGCATGCATGCATGCATGCATGCATGCGTATGCATCTATGCATGCACTCGTGTAGAGTGCGCGTGATTTACTGTGGGGATTTAGGCAATGCGTCGACGAGGGACCGGACGGCCTCAACAGATTTCGCAAACATCGCCTTCTCCTCTGCTGTCAGTTGCAACTCCAAGATCTTCTCCACGCCCCCAGCTCCAACAATGCACGGCACTCCAACATACAAGCCGTTCACTCCGTACTGCCCAGTCTGGATGCATGCATGCACAACAACAAAGCACGAGCACACCGCCGTCGCGGGAAGCGGAATGGAAGATATATGAAAATATTGTCGTAAGCCGTGGGCATATACTCGAGAAAGCAATAAACAACTCGCGCACACGAGGTTTACTTTCAATGCGAGGTAACATAAAGTGGCAACTGCGCTTTTCCCCTGACACGCCTCTTCCCGCATGCATCGGGCGGGTAATACGTTGCTTCCCTCTTATCTTCTCCCGTTCGCTTGCGTGCATATATGTACGCATGCATGCACGCATGCAGAAATACAAACGTGCAGGCATAAAGGAATCCTATATGCATGCACCCCAATCTACCGCTTACGAGGTAAGCAGCGCAGGGGATGACCCTCTTCTTGTCCTTAAGGTATGCCTCAGCCATCAGTACCCCCGAGGCTGCCGGAGCAAAGAACGCGGAGCCCGCCTTCAGCAGACTGCAGCAAACACATCTATGTACAGCTGCAGCTGCACGATGTGCTCGCCTATCCTGACTATCAGATGTGCATTCTGCTGCGCCTTGTCAAACGTATACGCACTGCGCTCTGCATTTAAAACATTTTCCAGCAACCCACACAGCCTCTTCTATCGCTACACTGTGCACACCGCAGCTAAACAGTTGTTTATATTGAATTATTGCCCTTGTTTAATCATTGAAGCTGATCCTCACTCAACAATCTCTCCTCCGCCGTTTCGCGTGCGCTGCACAATGTCATCGACGTCCTTTTGTGCGAGTTGACCCATCGCCACCAAATCAGGCAGAGGGATACCAGACACTGCAATGCAAACCACCCACCACCCGTCTCTCACCCAAGGTGAGCATACACCACAAAAAGGCGACACGCAACACTTCGATCTGCTGTACCGCTGCGCATAACTTGCAATGGAACCTCTCGCCAGCTGCACAAGCTGCAGCAGCATATCGGCAGCAGCAAAAGCTGTAGTTAAGTAGTGCAGCAGCAAAAAAGCAGCAGGAACGGCAGCAGCAATAGCAAGAGAAGAAGAGATCTCTGAAGATCCAACAGCGCGCACCTGTGCAGTATCTTGGCAGGGGCACCATTGCATCTCCGTGTCCGCCCATCACCATTGCCTGCACATCTTCAACTGACACCTGCAGCCTCTCAGCCACAAAAGAGCGAAATCGTGCCGAATCCAACACCCCCGCCATGCCCACCACCTTTGCATGCGGCAATCCGCTTCGTTCCCTCATCAGCTGCACCATTGCGTCTGTCACGGACGCACACACATTCACCAATAGAAAACTTGCATCTATCCATACAAAAAAGCATAAACCATTATTTCCACTATATATATAGATATATATATACCTGCATTTACATATAGACAGCCTTAAACACAAACGCGCATCGTGTCCTATCTGCAGCAGAACATACGTGCACTGCACGTGTTCAAGGCGGTTTGCGCAAGCCTAATGAGCATAAATATGAAGGGAATTGATTATTTAAGTGAATGCACGCGCCGTGCACTGGGGTGTACGTACCAAGGGGATTTGTAATGCAAATGACAAAAGCGTCAGGTGCATGTATTTTAATGTTCTCGGCCACTTCTGAAACGATCTTCGAGTTGATACTTAGCAAGTCGTCTCGAGACATGCCTGGTTTGCGGGGAACCTGGAGGAGAAAAACAGGGACAATAAATGGTGTCTCTGCAGAAACAAATCAAAAGAGAATATTTGCAAAGGCAGCATACGCATGTACACCTTTTGCATGCATTCATGTCAACGGGCAACAGCAGCTTACTGCATAGCAACACAACAAACAAACATCTTTCGAAGAAAAATGCCAAACCTTACAGGAATTTACCACGCAACATACAACAAGGCAGGTACTAACGCCCTGAACAAAAAAACGCAAACCATCTCGAGACCCAAATATCCTCTTAGTGCTGAACAACAACAGAGCATCCAATACAGCTTTCTATAGCATACGCCTGCAGTGACGATAACTACGTCGGCCCCCTGCAGAGCTGCGAACTGATTTGAACCCGAGACGCAGTTGTCCACCCCTTCCACAGGTCCGACTTGCGATATATCCAACGCCTTCCCTTGCGGCATTCCTGAAAAACAAACACCAAGTCAAGCACCAGCACGACGAGTCCATGGGCACCGCCCGAATAGGAAGCTACGAAGTAGACATTCTGAACATGCAACTACTTGGGGTTCCGAAGGGAACCACTCGTTTCTCCAATTTTCGTAAACGAATTCTCTTGATTTTCCCTCAATCAGAGGTGAAATAATTGTCTTTCACGCCAGGTGAACATGCGTCCGCTCGGCGGAAGGCGAGATGTGCGGTCGTCTGCCGCGAGTGGCATTTCAGCGCATTTACTTCATCCAAATACACCGTTTAATCTCAAACAAAACCTATGATGTGCATTACACACCAAACTATACAACTGATCGAAAGAAGACATGGATGACCGTTCCCCCCAAACAGAAGGAACCGCCCAGAAGCTCCATTACCTTCCACGACGTCGAAAATACTGACATCTCCTAACTCCTTTAGTGAAGAAAGAAAGGCTAAGACAGCCCCGATTTGTCCTCCACCAACGAGCGCAATCTTCGGCCGCCTCATTTCAAGCGTTTCAGGAACAAGAATGGAATGAATGAGCACAGTTGACTGGCATACCTCAGCTTGACTGCAACACCGCCTCAAAGCTTCGGCCTTTGGTTCATTCCTAGAAAACAAACAAATATAAAGGAATTCGAATCTCAGCGTAACCATAAAAACGAATCCCTGTGCAGTGTGCAGCAACCCCCACAGCTTTCTTCCGCCGATCTTCGCGCACTCGCATCCCTGGCTGTGTAGGGAGCCCCAGCGCTTTGCCCGCGCCGGGAAAGTAACGTATTTTTTCTTTAAGATAAATATATTAGCTCTGTAAACAAAATACACTCAAGCAAATATACAGAGGCAAGAGTCAGCCTACAGTTGCGTTGCGCCTGGTGAAGTGGTTAACTTGCTTTTGAGGTGCCAGACCTGTGTGCTCACTGAGTGAACAGCTGGACCTTTCCGGCGTGCAGACGCCAATATCTCTTAACTCATATCCGTCTATTCGATCAGGTCGAAACTGGCACAAAGACTTCAGCTACTGCAGAAACCGCAGCGGTTGCTCTCGCCCGACGCTGACTCGATGGCTCTGTGCAGCACTGTTTCTTAAGTTGTCAAGTGCACGCCTAATTGGGAGATTGTTGAAAATTGAGGGCCACGTCAATGTCTAACAGTTGCCAACGGTGTTTTTGTTTGCATCAAATGAGGGCTTGGTTGTCGTTGTATGTCTGATGCGCCTGCGTGCGCCTCTCTTCACGCTAAACGACGGGATACGGGTGAAGATACGGGTGAAGCACTTCAGCACAACCCGCATCTCTCAGGCAAGGAGTAGCCGTCTATGATTATACGTTACGGCTTCACATCGCACAAGAGTTTTGGTCAAAATGCGAAATCATACTTTAGCTGGCCGTGGTGGGCTCAACGCAACAGTGGAGCGGCTGCCCAGGTCCTTTTGGTGACCCAGGATGCGTCTGCCAACAGAGTAGTTATTATTAGTCCCAGGAACCCTAAGTTCAGTAGTGCCTTCTGGAGTCAATTCATGACGCAGCCTAGTATCAGCCATAGCCAAGGCGAACTACCGAGAGGCTGGCGCTCATACTTGAAACATCACAATGACACATTTTCAGTATTTGATACTGTACACGAAGAAAAAAATAATCGAGACGGCTTTTTCCTCCCTTGTGCGGAACGGTTTGTCATACAGCAGTTCATTTTTCGACCTTGTGCTCTTCTTCATCCCCTGTTTACACCGAACACCGTTGTGCCCTCACGTTGGAGTGGGGCTTTGCCAGCCAGACCAGGAAGCCTGGAGGCGCTGGCTGTAGTACACAACTTGCAGCGGGGCCGGTTGCCCTTTGACCCTTCGACGCCTGCTTTTCCCAACAATGAAACGCAGAAGTCTCAAAGTGTCGGATTGTTCGCCTGCCAATAACGTGACCTGGGTTTATACCGTCGTGAGACAGGTTAATTTTACCCCAGTGATAAATTTTATACCGGGACAATAATCCAATTTACCAGGAAAGGAATAGTTGATGCAGATATCTGGTTAATGCGGCTAGCTGAAAAGCTATCGCCGCGACGCTACCATCTGTTGGGATATGGCTGAACACGTGTAAGCCAAAATCCGCGCTGTCTATGCAGTGTTTCATCCCCTCATTTGTCCCTTGCATCACCTTCTTGTTGCCCCGAGCACAACATCTGAGCAAAGCCCTCGGCATCACGCGGTTGCCGACAATCGCAATTTCCCGCAGTTAGAGCTCTACATCCATTGCAGACGAGTTTGGCGCAACCAGGTATTGAAAGTGCAAGAGTAGGCTTGTCATACGAACCACTAACATTCAGCCTGCATCATACGATTTGTTTCCTCCTTAGACCTGCTGACAAGCCTACATCGCAGCACATATCGGATTGCTTGCATAAGGTCGGATGCGCTCTGACATATCTGCCATTGCAATGCCACCCCTATGAATACAAAGATACCAACAGAATATTACTCTTCAGGTGCAATTTTTAAAGACGAAATTGCACCTCTACGCAAGGAAGGAAAGCCCGAACTTTCCCCGCTTCGCCGCGCCAGTCTGATCTGGACGGTCCGTCGGCTGGAAGACATTCTCCACTTCCGCTGGATGGAATGCAGATGCTGGGCTTGACGAGGCGCTCAGCCGTTGCTCGCTTCCCTCCAGGAGCATGTTGATCAATCTCCAGGATGTGGCCCGCGGCAAGCGCTGAAGTTTTGATATGATAGAAGACATCTATAGATTCTCAATTGGTTCTCTCTTAAAGTCGATTTCATCCCTAATCAATGCAATACAAACGAACACCCAGACACGCGGAGTGGAGTTCGCTGCTCGCGCATGCCTGGATGAGCCATGTGGTGCTAATATGGAGTATGAATTTGGCGACACCTATACAATGCTCAGCGTAGCGATACATGAATGTTTTGGGGAATACGCACACGCATTCGAAGTTGAACAGCACCGACCGCTCAGTGAACGCTTCGTGGGCGGCATCGGAAACGGACTGCAAGCTCAGCCCTCTGCAGCAGAGCGGAAAATTGGCTCGTGGGAGCCTTCGATTGGGAACCGAACCCCACAAAGCTCCAGGCTGCCTCCCTCTGCAACTCCCCAGCTGGAGGTGCACGAGGTGCTCGATATAGAGAAGCATTGTAGTGCTTCCTTTCAGCGGCAAGCGTATTCTTCTGTCTGTGCCAGTTGCTGCTGAAGGCTGAAGTACAGTGTAGTTTCCGACCTACCCCACTTCTTCCCCGCAAGACTAGCACGATGTTCATTCTCTACGCTGCAGCGAATGGATGCCGACCGCACGTGTTTTTTGTCTAAAACAGCTTTTTATCCTCCTAAAGCCCCTCTGTGCCAGTGTGGAAACGTTTCTGCTGGCAAGAAATACGTCGCCTCATCCTGCATTTATTGCAAATAAGGTTCTGCAGAGTGCCTACCCAAGCCATATACCTCAACAGCCTTGCAGTGCAAAGCCCAAGAGCGGAGCAGCATCAGGCAGCATAGAAACGGAGGATACAAGAGCAGTGTTCGCTTCCTGGAGCTTCAAAAGAGTGATTAATCGCCCTGAGCTGGCTGTCTTCAGTGGCTGAGACAAGACGCCAAAGCCAGCCGAACACCGCTTGAATTTAGTCAGTCTGTGGCTGCCCTACAAACGAGGCGCTACAACAAAGTACAAGCCCAGATAAAAAAAACGTTCCTCCTCCCATCTGCCCTCGCGACTACAAATGAGCATATGCATACCCGGGAGTAGTCACATGTAGCAAGCTACAAACCAGCAGCCTAGCTCGCTAGATGCCTTGCTACCCAGCTAGCCACCTATTTAGGTGCACTAGGTAGGCATACAAACAGGCAGATAGCTACGGCGCTCCTCATTTGCTGAAATGACTTCGTGCTGGGTGCTACTTGTTAGCAATATACGTCCGCAAGGGCAAATAACATAGCTTTCTCCCGTCCCTCACTGCGCCAACTTCTCCTCCGTCGACGCGATCATAACGCCGTCTGCGGAGCACATTACCACAAATTATAAGATCCACTGGTTCTGTTACATAATTTCGCTTCACTCTCTGCGATAGACTTCTTCCATGTGCATGGACACTGCGTTGCGCCTCTCTGTCCTGCCGCCCGCAGCTGGAGAGGAAGCCGCGAGTAAGAACAGCGAGGAAAAGGTTCACAAGTTGAATGAAACACCAATATATAACTACTACAATGAAAGACAGTTATTTGCCGCATATACCAACCTCCTCACATTGCAAGACAAATTCGGATTTACGAAGCATACCACGCTTACGGGCGGAAAATTGCGGACTCCATCTTTCGACTAATTTTTCATATGGCTCGTCACGACTCAAACCAACTTGGACAAATGAAAAGCAGATGACGGATGAAAATGGAATTCCATTATTCTACTAGGTCACTTACTTAGTTTGTCAACTTTTTCCTGGATGCCTTTGACCTCTTCCTGGTCAATGACCCGTCCGTCCTTAAAGGCTTCTTCTGCTTTTTCTTTGGTGAATGGGACAACAATAAGATACTTCACGGAAGAGATATTAGGGGACCGGCCTTCCGGTAAGTGACGGAGCACACAAAGGTGCTCGAGCACCCTGGGTGCTGTTTCTTCAACAGTGACATCTGCCGGTGAATCCTGAAATATAGTCTGTTTTCCTCCCTCCGTACCTCCCTTTCCCTTCTCATTTGCTTCTCCTTGCTGTTCATTGCTTTCAGATGCGGTCGGCGCCGCCTCCTCTTTCTGTTCGGCTGCTGACGTTTTGTCCTCGGCACCTTCTCCTGAACCCTCGACAGTAACGAAAGAACAGACAAACAATGAACGAATAGACCCGCATAACAGCAAATAACAATAAAAACAAATGTACACGTGCATCAAGGAGCAGGCGAACGAGCAGAGAAACGATCCAACATAAAATGAGGCTACTGAATTAGCATCCGAACGCTTCTAATGTGCCCCAATGAAATCAAAGTTAAGGAAGCTTGTACATAAACGAGTGTTTTACCTCCTTTTTTTGCATTTTGAGCCTCCTCTCCCGTGTGTTCCGTTCCTGCATTCGTTTGCGATGTCTCATCAGCAGCACTGCCCACAGTTTTATATCCATCGTCGCCGACTTTAATGCCCGCCTAGGAGAAACAAGTAACTACGCAAATGAGTGAATTGATGAAAAAGTACACAGCAAAAATGAAAGGAGCCGGAAATGAAGGCAGTGCAGTGCCGACGCAACAATGCGAGTCTCGTGCAGACGATGTTGTAGAATGAAATGACATTTATATGCTGCGCTAAATGCAAAACGGGGAATGCGCTGCTCGGCTAGAACTGCCCAGGAACACGACGTGGAAGAATACTTCAACTCTGAGATCCCAAACACCAGGGAGTGCCAAGTCCGAGCCGTTTTACAGGCAAACAGAGGCGCGCCGCCACAGACCAAAAGACGACAATATTGCTAAGCTGATACATGCAGGGTAGGTTATATGCCCAGCTTACAGCCTCGTGACGCTCGGAAACAACGAGCAGAACAGAGAAAGGTGCTTGAGCCATTGCAGCATAGGCGTGGATATACCCAGAATACACACATGCCAGACGCATAAACTCCATCACCGCCTCGCACACCCTCTTTTTCCCATTGGCGTTTTCCATTGAAGCCTGAGAACAACGCAAGGAGAGTCAGAAACGGGCACCATCAGCGAGCAGCAGCAGTGAGCGAGAGCAACAGCAACGGGCAGCGCGGAACCACAAGTAATGGAAAATCATGGAAGCGCACGCATTGAACCAACAAACCCGCAGACGTAACATGGCCACCTTGGCAGCCACGCTAAAAAGGGTAAAGATTTCTCGTAATAATGCATGCAACCAAAAGTCACTCCCTTGGGAAGGCATGCGTGCTTTTACCTCCCCAGTAGCCGCCCCAATGCCCCAATGAATTTATACATATGAAATAACAAAACAGGAACCCTGAATTAAACGCTTGGGGGAGTTAGTTACCATAATTCCCATCTTAAGGGTCCTTTTCCCGTTCTGCAGAGTGAACCTGGATTCCTTGATGGGAACATAAGACGGCGGTTTAATTTGTAACAGCAGCAAATCGCCTTCAGCGACCTCTGGCCTATTATGTGAGTATTGCTGGACAAGTGAAGGCATATTCTGCTCCTGAAGCAGCAGCAGATAGACACCATCGCCATCTCCCGTGCTGAATTCCACCGCCTTATTATCTGGTACTGCAGCTGTGTTCGCAGCATCAGCAGCAGTGTCGGGCTTCGGGCATGTTGATGAGGCGGGGACAGGAGCCAATTGGGCCGCGTTTGGGTCTGGTGGAGAACCTGAGACCTCCACTGCAGCTTTGCGCGTCTTCGGTTCAGCAGCAGCTCCTGGTTTTCCGCAGGCAGCCCCCATTTCCGTGAATGCAGCACGACCAACCTCGTGGAGCTGCGGAGAGCTCATGCACACCACGAAAAGGAGGGGATTTAAAACAAAAATATAGGACTATGCTGTATTATTGCTCTATTAAACGCAATCGGACGAGCAGCAGTCGCGATCTCGTGCGGACCAGCGGGTTTACCAGCACGCCGACCTCACGGACCTGTGCCAACGCGCCTAGGGAAAGTGGAGAGCTCTCAAGTGAAGAGTGGCATATTTATAAATAAGGAGGTATGTACAGATAAACAGGGGTTAGCAACGGTGTGATAAGCAGCGTCGCGTACCGTTGTGCTGCTGTGCTTAGGCCTACCCGGGTACCGATGGAAGGCGGGTTCAGGACTCAAATCGAGGCTCAAATCTGATTTGAAAATGTCAGTTAGGAAAATCCATTTAACGAAGAACACAACACTGAAGCGAAATCCACAACAATGGAAGGGGAAAGCAGAGGGAGCCCCGCAACCGGCAACGAACGCACATGCAGGTTTCAGGTTTCAGGATATCGTCATTCGCTGCAGACTTCCCTTCAAGATCGAGAAAAGAGCAAATTAGGGCGACTTCTACATTTTGATGATAACATGCGTTGCAAGTAAGAATCTGCGATTGGTGCATGTGGATCGCCGCATGGCCATGACCACGACTGTCTCCACGCTTCGGGACCGTTATGAGCTTGCGGCCAGCCGAGAGGAAGTCCTTCTCTTTGCAGACAAGTACATGGCGGTCAGATTGGTAAGAACCAAAAGTAAGATTTTACTGCAAGGGCTTGAGTGCATTCGCACTAGTTTAACGACCCATTTTGGCACCCCAGCGGCACGACACCATCTGTGACCACCGAACCATTGCATCCCAGGGTGGCGGAAACCAAACTTGGAGAGGCAAATTTTGTTGGCAATGCATTTTGACTACCTAGAGAACTATTAACTTGTGAAGATGCTATTGCCGCCATCTGGTTGCACTATCCCGGACTGAGGCGCATAGCGTTCACACGCTTCTTTTGAATACTCTCAATTTATGGTTTTCCTCTGATTCCACCCAGTACCATTTGAAGAGAATAGGCACACAGAGGAAAAAGTAAGTGGGCAGATAATCAAGATAGGCAGGTAAGCCTGGGCATGATTACCTACTTATCTAGAACCCGTTGGGCAGCTGTTCGTCCTGGGCCGCACAACCACTACGAGAAAGAACTAGTTAGCTGCAGGTTCTCAGGTCGTCTATATTTAAAGAAGCCGTGTGATATCCTTTTTACTTTTCGTTTAGTCAGAATGCATGGCGTTGATCAAAAACTCCAAAAGAACTATCTGCACGCCGTGCCGGCCTAGCTGGATGCGTTGGTAGGGAGCGTTCTTGCTTGTTCGTTTCCAAGTGCGCAAAAATGGCACTCCACATTACCGTTATAACGGTTCAACAAGGTGCATAGTGGGGCATCGTGTACTAGTCTGCTGGCTGCACAGGCATTGCGCCTACAGCATCAGTGCTGACGCCGACGCTGCCACTTAGTTTGGGGTGCGAATGCCAAGTTCATAAGCCTCTCCAAACCATCACTCGCCGGCACGTTTTCATTGTCACCTCACCGTTGCTAGTTCTATGTAGTACTTCTGCATTGTTTCCACAACTTGCTAAGGCTGCAGGATGGAACAAATGGCCAAACCTACATTTCTACAACTGCGGATGCTACAGAACGCCGGCAGCCGTGTCAACGCGTCTTCTGACCAAAAACGGTTTACTTTGGGGAAATATTCAAAGGATTCAAACGTAACAACCCCATTCATTGCGAAGCAGTGGTCTCCACTGCAGATGTGAACAGCTCGTTGCTAACAGCGAACCTTTTCTGCTGGTTTAGAGATGGCGCCCTTTCTTTTCTCACTACAGGCCGACGCTGCTATTCGTCTAGCATGGCCTGCGCCGAATGACACAAACTCATGGACGCCAAAGGTAGAGAAATGAGTTGACGTTCACCAACTGTGTAATGAAAAAGAGAGCAAAGGTCTCTGCGCACCGCCTTGCCACGTGGTTACGGCCGAGACAGTCCATCCTAAAAAAGGAAAAACGAGCTCTCAGGAACATCCTAAAACTGTCGCGTCATCATACGCGAATACAGCAACAAAGTAAAAATATTCATGCTTTAAGAGCATTCTCCATCTTGCTGCCAGGGACCCCACCTTGGTGCCTTTAATCGGTGGTTCCCCAGTGGAGAGCAAAATAGCAACTTTTTCAGCGCCACTACTTCCCCAACCGGAGGGCGTTCTCCCTTTTTGTAGGTATTCAGGGCAGATACAATTCGGTGTGCTAAACGCACGTGAAATTTCGTCAGCGGGTTTATAGTGTGTGTTGGCAATGCGAAATCCGTTTTAAAGCTTTCTGTGAACTTCACCCACCATTCAGCGAGTTGCATATGCTCGCCGATAAGCTTGGCAGTGCATATGATTGCATCGAATATCATTAAATAGCAACCCAATGTTTCAACTGCTTGAATAGGTGCTTTACCTCTTGGTCCCTTTTGACTCTGAAGCCAGGTTATGGCAACCAGCCGCTCGACGGTATCTATGAGAAGATCTACATCCTGCTGGCTGAGTTTTTCCTTCAAAAATAATTTCCGTAACGTGCTTAGGTAGCAATGATATGATAGCTTCGCTGACCACCTACCAGATGATAGGGCGGACACATCTATATTTCTGAGAACAACACCGTCCTCCAGCTGTGGCAGCCGAACATACGGATGATTTGTAAGGCCGCCATACTGAAGGACACTTTTTAAATCCACAGGACTATCCAGGCGCTGTCGTTTCGCAGCAGATGGTGCTGAAGTTTCTTCGGCCTCTGACTCGTCATCACTAGACTCTCCAGGCTCTTCAGATGAAGGGCTGATACTTGGAATTGTATCTAACCAGGAGTCGGGGTCCAGAGCAGTGGACACGGCAGTCCATTGCTCTGGACCCCAACTCTGCGCAGATGGTACTGACGATTGTTCAGCCTTCGACTCGTCATCAGTAGCCCTCCCATATCCTTCAGATGAAAGGCTGATGCTTGGAATTGTATCTAACCAGGAGTCGGGGTTCAAAGCAGTAGACACGTCATCGGATCCACCCAGTTCAACCGACTGCTGCACTGGATAAACATTTTGATGTACCATCTGACCACCTATTGATTCAAAACCAGTTTGCCCCTCCGTCAATTGCTCACGCACCTGCAGCGCCCCTTCAACTGCACCATACGCTTCCGTCCCTGTGGTTGCCTGTGATAGCATTCTCGATAACCCCAATAAATGCACTAATGAGTTACCTCCAGAACTAGAAGCCGCTCTTGCCTCCATAATCCCCAGGTCGGCCTCCAAGTCCAAGCAGCCTTCTAAGACGGAAACCTCATCATCGAGACCCTGACCCCCTTCGGATAGCCTCCTCCTTGCCACTCCTATCCCCTGCTTCCTGCTACGGAGAGCCCAGCACAAGGACAACGACACTAAAATTGCTACTACAGAAATAGTTGTGGACAGGGAAAAAAGGAGCGACAGGTTGTAACGCCGTGATCGAGAAGGGCGAGTTCGCTCCGTCGGATGTCCAGCGTATGGGATAGACGTCATTGAACAGCCCTCCAGCACTCTCTTATTTTTGAGAGTGTGCCGCCATTTCAGCGTCTTTAGAAGTTGTTGATGGCCTGAAGACCGCATGCCAAGAAGGACGGAAATAGCCAAGGATTCTGCCACCAAATAAAAGGTAAGGGGTGGCTTTAAAGGAGCACATTCGTATGTCGAAGTGTGTCAAGACGTCAAATGTGAATTAATCAAAAAACAAAAGCCCCCAATGTTTGAGAGAGGGCAAAACAGAGGTTCCTCAATTGCTGTGGCACAGGGATCCCGTGCCCGTCGGTTGAACACGTTGGCAAACCGATCAGCGTTTGCTTACCCACCCCTGTTGAGTCTACTAGATCTACTCTACAAATTCGACTACTATTGTTTGCGGTTCTTTAATGACTAGAAGATTTCCACGAAGTTGAGAAGCAGAATGGGGTGGAAACTAGACAGCGATGGGGTGCCAGTTTTCCCGCCGTATCGGTGGGGCGATCGGCGACCAGTGGGAGCATTACCTAGAGACCCCTTGCTCTTAGCACGCGCAGACAATAATGTCCTTGTATTGACTGGGGGAGAAGATATCAAGTCTTTTGTGTGGCCCTTTTGGGATCTAGCCCTCGCCCTCAATTTTCCAGGAAGAGAAGCCTCTTGCGCTCAGGCGTGCTCTCTCAGGATTCCCCGACTTACTGTGCCTCATCTTCGGCTGACAAACACAGTTTAGTGCTCTCCACAAACAAAAAGCCCTGAAAAGACTTCGTCGCTGTTGCTGCTTTTGTTTTTTCGTCGGCTACGAGGGCGGGAAGACCGAAGACTGAGGAAACGTTCTCCGCGCGATCGAGGCCTGTGTCTCGCCACTCTCACTACAAGGTGAAACAGATGTAACGAGGGTACTCGTCCTTCTTATCCGACAACCATCGGCACCTTTGGTCGATCTAAATGACTAGAGCTCTGCAAAAAGCAGCTGATCTTCAGTTTGCAGGAATTCTTGGCCCAGTGCCGCACGGGCTTGGAATTGATGCACAAAGGAGGTGGGCTGTCAAGAGTTACAGCATACCTTGTTGCGACTCCTGCTGCAAAGCAATCCCACATGCAAACATTCTGAAACTCCCATCCAACGGATGCACTAACACCGTAGCCAGCTGCTGAGCCGTAACACTGCTTTCCAGCCTGTGGGCACGGCGAGGTGCACTTACGAAGTGCATACAGACAGCGCTAGAAGGGCATTCCGGGTTGAGGTAACAAGCCTTTCCAGCCAAATGCGACTTCTCAAAATGGGAACGACAAGGTT